ACGAAAAGGGAGAGGCTGTGGATGCCGGGATCGATGCCGCCGCAAAGCTTATGCGCAAATTCTTGGAAGACGGACATGGACGAGCTGTCAAGGAGCAAGTTGAGACGGAGGTTGAGCCGGAGGAGCTGAAAGATGCGGATTTTGAAGAATTTTTGGACCCGTGGAGGCTGGATACTCTGATGAAGAAGCTCAAGAGAGAGAGTCAAGCCGGCAGGGGTTCCGGTAGAGGAGGAGCCGAAGAGGATTGCCACATGCAGTGAGAAGCCCCGACTAGTTCAGGTTCAGGTTCTGTTCGTACTCGGTTTTGGTCACCACTACAGCAGCCATGCAAATACCATTTGGTGTTTGATCAGCTGTATGAATGATGAGTCAAGTTTATTACGCCCGGGAGCAAATGCCTCAATGTTCATCGCCAAACGCCTTGCTCGCTGCCGTTTCTGGCCGCAGTGTGGCAGTTTGCCATCCCACGAGGCGCGGGCTTATGGAATCTTATCTTGAGGCTCTAGGCAGACAATACATGCTGTCACTTGCGACTAAGGCCGAGAAACACTGTATGAGATCGCTTCTAATTTATTGACGTGAAGTGACTGAGTTCTGTCAAATGACACTAACCCTAACCCTCACGAACGCCAAGGACAGCCATGTCATGACTGATGCAGCATTCTTCAACAAGGCAAATCCCACCTATCCCGTACCAGAGACCAATAATGCAGAAATACAGTGAGCTATTGATATCTCTGTGTTTAACAGGGGTTACTAGTTTGGCGCTGAAAACCACAGGAATAATGACGAGACCCACGACTCGCACATGACTTGAGCAATACAGTGCGACTATATTAATTTTTGGTTGTTTCGCTCTGTAGTCAAATGAAATTACACGCATGATACAAGTATCGTGCAAGCGTAAAATCTAAAACAGTATTGGGCTGTACTAAGCCAAGGACAGTAAGAGACTAGAAAAGTAGACCGTCTGTACACGCATCGTGCGACTATATACCGCCACTCTTTCAACCGACAACCTGGTAGATAACCCTTATAGGCTCCTAGAGACTGAGACGAAGACCACAATATGATTGGCAGTCATGAAGGGATGAGTACAACTCATCAACGCTCACTGCCAGTCAGCGGAACCCAAACATTACCCGTATTGCACTGCGTGATAGTGTGTCGACTCGTGCATTGCTTTCTTTTTTTGTTTTTGCTCTACAAAGAGACATAATAATACCTAGTTTGCGCATCATACTCCATGATGACCTCTTTCTCCATGGCATCGACATCAATGACAATCTGGTGCCACAAACTCAACTCGTAGCTCTCCGGCACCTGTCCCGGAGTCAGTTGTCCACACAAGTACCGCCCCTGGCCATGGCTGTTTCGAGCCTGTGTGCCAGTCTCTACGCTCCGGGTAGGGTTCACCACATTTGCAGCGCCATCTGTAAAGGTGCCATCCAAATTCTGGACAGGGCAAAGGATTACAGCCATCCCAGATCCCTCCGATGTACTGGCACCTGCATCAGAGCTGGGGGACCGGTTCCAACTAACAATCATGCCAGGACGAAGGCGTTTTCTCAGGGGTACGGTAGTGGGATCGTTCAGCTCCCGAGTCAACATTCGGCTCGTTGGTCTCTGACCACGCAAATTGGCACCGTCAAGGCCAGCAGGGTCGTCGAGGCTGGTCCCGGGGCTGCCGTGTAGGGAGTCGAGGTGCATCTGCCACAACTTTGATCTGATGGAATTCACTTGCTCGCTGCTGAATCCAATCATGCCAGGGCACTTGTTTTCAAACTCTGCTTTTGGCAGGCGTACGAGTCGAGCCAGAGATTGTGCCCAAGGCACGCCAGCAGATCCAACAGAACAAGCATCCGACTAGCTCGTGGAAAAGATGGTTGCGTCGTCAGCACACAATACTCGACAGAGCCGGGTTTTGTTCAGGAACCCACCTTGTCGATAATCCACTCCTTCAACTGCTCATCGGTCCAAGTCATTGGATCCACGTGATTTTGGTTCACTTTGGCAGAAGTCGTCGGAACCATAACACGCAACATTTCCGCGTATCGCAGCGTATTTTTACTCGGGCCAACATCAGCAATGCTCGGGTTTATACAGGCTATAACGACCATTTTACAAGCTCGGTCAACTGAAGGCTCAAAAACATGTTTCAGAACCTTGGTCAACGCGCTCTGTCGGAAGGGAATCCGTGGTTTCCTTTGCTTCGATTTCCGACCACGGCCCGCGGACGCCAGAGCGTCTAGCTCGGCCTTGTTGCGGATACAGTCCTTCAAGACTGATAAACTCATGTTGATCTCACGGGTTTCCCGCATGCGGTCCGCGCCGTGCGTCGCAACGTCACGCGCAGCCTCGGAGCCAGCTAGGTCGATTAGATACAGAAGCCCGGCTGAGTCTGGGCCAGCCGCTGGGTTTGTAATACGTATTCGACAAATGCCATGAGACCGGGACGATGAGTCGTTTTTTAGAGTGGGCGCTGTGCGTCGAAAGGATGCAGCTCGTTCAATCAGCTCCATCATGTCATCCCGGCACCGTACCTGGTGCTCGACTGCACCTGCTAGCTGTGTGGCTCCAAACGAGTCTTCAAGAATTGATATTGGCTCACGCGAGTTGAGCAAATCATGGGCTGCGTTTCCGGCAAGGTCAATAATTGTCATGTGCACTTGCCGCTGGCTTGTGTCGTTTCCTTCCATCAACGACATGGCAACAAGCTTCTCAAGGTGACTGATTGTAAAGGTCTTTCCGGAGCCGGTTTGCCCGTAGGCAAAGAGAGTTCCAACGCCCCCGTTGGATGCAAAGGCAACCAAGTCAGCCACCAGGCTGTCGTAAATCTCCCCCGTGTCTGCCTGCGAAGTGAAGGTTCGATCCACCTGATACGTGGAGGACTGGTGCATACGAAACAAGGGCGCAAATCAGTATTCATTACAATTTCCTCGTAAAGGCACAAGGAGAAACTTTGGCATCATACCTTGAGAATGGGCCGTCCCCTTGGATGATTATAGAGATCGTGGATGTCTACGATGCCAGGTCGCGCCACACGCGGGAAGACGGCACATGGAAAGCCCGCGGCAACATCTTCTTCAAGCAAAGGCCTTATTCTAGCACAAACAACGACATCTGGACTAGTTGTTTCGGTAGCAAGCTGCTGTGGCGTGCGAGGCTCTGGCGAGGTCTTGTTGAGTGATTTGAGCAGAGCTCGGTAGAAGTCGGCATTTTCAAGATAGAACTTTTCCATCCTGCCAGGATAACCAGACGATCACAACATCAAGTACCAAGGTAGCCAGGTCCCAGGTCAATATGTTCAAGCCCTTTGGTGGAAAGTGTCAGTCAGTACGTGACCTTGCACCGAAAGGGGCATGCTAACCTGGATCTCTGCGTGCGTGTGATGTCGATGATTGGTTCGCGCTGACTTTGGCAGCTGGCCTACTCCGTATGTTGTTCTGGTATTGCAAAATGACTGCCGTTCGGGGAACCATGATTTCTTGGACACAGAAGTGCAAAGGAGGGTGAATCATGGGCAATGAGCTCGGTCAACTGGCAACAGGTAAGCGCACATCAATGTGACATGTCACGGGCATCCACAGACCACCGCCGAGGTGACCACGGGCAACATGGAAGACTTCAATGCCCGATGCATGCCTGACACACCAGACCTTTCATCCAAGACACTGCGGACCGCGCACCAACGTCATTCGTAGCAACGGTACAGATAGCAGGGTCCCAATCAAAGTAATCACGCAGATGCCCGTGACGATCAATGGCAGACTGCAGGATCATGTCTTGGACCGAGTCCCTGTCACCTGCTTACCTGAAATGGGAGATGAAGCTGGGCATCCATCATGGTCCGCGGTCCAAGCCAACCGGGATCGACGGTGATCCCGCAATCTGATCGGCGACAAGAGCCATCTGCTACCTTGGTGGTTGAGTCGTAAGAGAGTTGAGCCTTGGCTTATTGGAACACAATATTGTCCAGCGCTATCAACTCATCAGAGGTTTGCCGCATCAATGTTGTTTTCAAAAGTTTACCACCAAGTCGACCAGGTCGACATGAATTCTAGTGAAATCGTGGACAAGACGGGCAGCGCCAGCTCTTCAACTCGAGCGTGGCTACCCTGGGTGTTCCACATGTTCATGATGGCCATCTACGCCGTCGGCTTGTTCAATTTGTATTTCATGGAGACACAAAATTGCTCTCCATGCTTTAGTGGTTCGTTTTATCAGTATTCTGGTTTTATTAGCCATCCCATAGGCATTTAACTGTCATTATGCAGAAAAACTTCTCGGGGCACCAATAACGTGGGAGGAATGTATGTACCCTACGCCAGCAAATATGACAGCCCGCTCACCAACAAACCGTAGGGACTTTTTCTACAAACAAAAATAGCGACCGCATCGACCCCTACTCACGCCATAACCCGGACGTGGATATCGTCTGGGAGGGCAAAATTGAGAACACCATCAGTGTAATAAGTGAGGCGGAGAAGCAGAATCTTCCAGGTGGACGACACACTGCAAGAGCGTACGGACCTCAAGACGGCTACGCTGTCATGATTGAAGTTTTCCATCAGTTGCATTGTCTTGTAAGTTTTCCCATTTCGGTGCCAAGAAAGAGACAGTGGTGTCCTTGCTAATCACTTCAAGGGCAGAATCATCTTCGAACCTCGTTCTTTATGGACCGCGACAACGGCAAGCCAGGCGGCAGCACCATAGATCCGGAGGATCATGCAGATCACTGCTTCAGCTATCTGTTCCAAACACTTCTGTGCCACGCAGATGTTGGGGTAATGACGGTGACATGGCACCCGGAATGGGATGTTTTTAAGCCTCAGTTCAACGTCACAAAGCAGTGCCGCAACTTTGATGCTATTAAAGACTGGGCACACACTCGCAAGGCTCGGTTTTTCCCTCCACAAAGGAATTTTTCAAGCTAGGATTAGATACCGAGACTGACCAAGACCAAGGAGAATAGCTTTGATAAAGAATTTGTAACTGCTCTATCTTGAGTGATGACCTTCGCTGTCCCTCACGCTTGATATGGCAATGTGGTCCTTCATCCAATTTGCAACCTTGCCAAAATCCCGACACCTTTTAAAGACAGAAAAGTCAATGTTTAATGCACCCGTCGAGTCATCCGGGCGGTCCAAGACTAAATATGGCGTCACGTCCGCTTGACACATCATGTCCATACGGATAAGTTCGATGCAGTGGTCTATATGTTGCCAGTCTCAGGTTAGAATCATGGAAGACAGATGGCGTGTCACAAGAGGCCTGGCTTACCTAAATGCGTTCGGCGAAGTGCCTCGGGGTCACGGAGAATAGACGGTAGCCTCTGCCCAGATTTCTCGTATTCCTCTTTATAGGACATCTGACGGAGGAGATCCTGTCATTTATTTTGTAATTCTTAGCGTTTCAACCAGGCCAATGCTCCGTCTCCCTCGGGACGTCTTACCAAGCAGTGGATTTGATGAAAGCCCCAGAAGAGTCCGGCCACGCCGCCGCCATGACTCGGGTCCGTGTGATGCCACGGATCGTCCGTTGATTTGTTCAGGAGGGGAATTTTGTCTTCGGGTACATTGAACGCACCCCAGTCCCAGAGCTTCTCCCAACGGGCGTCGATATCGGGCGTCGGTGTTCCACGGTAAGGTGAGGGTTGTAGAAAGGCGCCGGGCAGGGTCTCGTCATGATACTCAACAGCCTCCAATGCTGGTGCTATCATGTCAAACCCCCCGTCAGCAAAATATCCATGTATATAGGGGCGTGACGGATTCACGTTGCAGCTCAATAGAAAATTATTGGACTCACAATATGGAAATAACTTTCGTACACAGGTCTCATCTGATGGCCTGCCAGACCAGGAAAGGATAAAAAGTGTCAAAGAACACGCCAACATGGCTGACTGAATAATCCACGTCCAGGTAAGGCTAATACATCTCCGTCCATATTCGTCCACCAGAGGGTATTTCTTCAAAGAGAAACCTCGGTCAAGTCCCTCGTCCTGCAGAAGACCCTCATCCGCCCTATCCTGTTCCATGGTTTGATGGCCTAGTAATCGAGAATGCCACATAACGTATAAAAGAGACTGCAATTTGCCAAGACGGTAAAAAGTCTGATAAACCAAGAGAATGAGCTGCTATTGAAGGTTCGATCTCTACATTACGGTCGTTGCCCCATTCGCCAGGATAGCAGGTTGCTCTGGGCGTCACAGCGGAATGCTACGCGACGGCCGGAATCTAGCACTCAGTAGTGATGACAGCATTAGTGTAAAGCATGGTAACCCTGAGACATATACTGGTCCCCGTCGATAGCATTGACAGTTGAGCGATGTCATATGCTCGTCCTTTCTTGAATGGTGACATCGCACGCAGCTGGGCTTTACCATCCGGGGAGACTTCCGCAGTAGTCCTACCAAAAAAAAAAGAAAAGTCTGGTCGATTACGTTTTTAAACGCAGCATTATCTAATGAAAGCGGCATTGATTGGTCAGCTTGAGCCGTAAATGTTGCTGATTACTGCACATTCAGGCGCCGGTTCGGACTCTCGAGGGAAATGCTGCACATGCATAGAGATCACCCCGCCATTGAATGTGTTTCACTATTGAAATGCCCATTGATGTCTCAGGCGACTCATCAAGCAACCAAAGTGTAAGCCGTTTGTTTGTACCATCCATGACACACTGAAAACTTGCCCGTAATCATGCATCGGCTATTCTCAAAAAGCAAGTGCCGGCATGAAATGAGTAATAATAAGATCAGCAAAAGCAAGACTGTAACGGTCCAAGCTGACTATATTGACAACTAGCTCGGCGGCTACTACTGGCCCCGGTTTGTAGACGACGCCAGACATCGAGCATTATGCGCCTCAGTCCAACGGCGCGGTATACCGGGTAGCTGGTAAATGTTGAGCAACCAAACTCGGGTAGTATACATAATCTGCAAAATCGTCATGTAATATTCGTAGCCGCAGTATCACATGAGCCAGTAGTCCCATACGAGGGGTTAGAGCAAAGAAGATGCAATCGTCAACTCTTGGGCTACTTTTTCAAGGGATCATGTCGTTGCACTAGGAGTATCGACAGGCTAAAGTCATCTGATAACTGGCAAGAAAATCCATTTCAATCTCTAAATACTGTCTTGTATATCCCTGGATCCTGGAACGCTACATGGAAGCAAATATCATTGACTCGTATTTGCTATGTTCTGCTTGGACCGTTCCCATGATGAAGTTTTTGAACGTGTAGAGCGTGAAGTAGCTTCTTGTGTGTAGCAGTAGGTAGTTTGGAATCCAGATAATGAATGACATTTGTACTAACGAGCAGCCATAGACAATTTAACGAGAGTATAAGAGCCTTGGATAAAATCTGTAAAAAACCTTCCGCAATCGACAGTCTCCCACTCATTCTACGATTGAAAGATAAAAGAAGCCCGTGTGATGTCCCTTACGATTGTCAGCATCATTTCTGTTTTGGCCCCTGTAATCTTCAACAAATCGCAACATCCGCCTAGCAATCTTTATCGGTCATCTGCAGTCACCACACAAAAAGTCCACCTGCCTCACGCTCTGCCGCGGCCTATTCCTCAGTGCTTTTATGATCAGCGCTCGTCCCGTCAGCCCAGTCCCAGATAAAGGAGCCCTGGGGTGTTCTTTTTTCATTCTTGTGCGCCTCGCTCTTGGCCCAGTCCCAGATAAACGAGCCTTGGGGTGCTCTCTTTTCATTCTTGTGCGCCTCGCTCTTGGCCCAGTCCCAGATAAACGAGCCTTGGGGTGCTCTCTTTTCATTCTTGTGCGCCTCGCTCTTGGCCCAATCCCAGATAAAAGAGCCTTGTGGGTTGCGAGCCTGTATTGGTGAGTTAATATTAGACCGATTCATTCCATGGGAAATAGTCTACCTCAAGGTTGGATTTATCCGCTCCCACGACAGGGGCTCCCAGAGCCGATGTTGCCAGGGTTGTGACAGCAATAACCTGAGCCAAGAGCTTCATTGTTTCTAAAGATTATATATTAGCAAACAGGGATATAATATGGAGAGGTGAGGCATGCCGTATCAAGTTAAAAGCCGTGTTGATTTCGATTTTTTTCTTTCAAAAAGGTTATCGCGGCACGAATACCAGAATGTAATAACTAGAAGTGATAGTGGAGTTCCAAAATTATGAATTCCAGGAATCCACATGGAGCTGTATTAATATATCACATTGGATAGTAGTCAAAGCAGGACCTACAACAGCTAAAGTTACACTGTATAGACCCCTTCCCCTGATGCCACAATGTCTCACTCATCCTGTCGAGTAACGGCGTGGCTTAATAATACTATGCATGATTATTGCGCAGATTTAAGACACACAAGTAAGCATACAGATGCAGAATTTTCTCTATTAAGAATCAAGCACATTAATGATAGATAACATGTTTCAAGCACATGGTCAGGTGGTAGCTGTTGACCAGCCGTGGACTAGAAGTGCTCAGCTTCCATTCGATTTGTTGCTCTTCACTCCATATTTCTCCATGTTTCATGATTCTGGCTTAGAACCACGTACACATTTCATTAGAAAATATGGTCTCTAACGGCCATTACCCCTTCTGGTCGCGTTTTACTCTCAGGACCATGAAGTCTACGGCCGATGAAATCTTTGCCTCTCGCAACCATCACTCATACGAAAAGGCTTCTTCATCTGATGAAGACCACCTGTTGTGTGAAAATGGCAGCTTCCTTGACCAGAAAACCCACCGGTCAAGACTTGATGCACCATCCAAGTACGGGCTTATCCGGACCGCTGTCCTCATTTGCTCCGTCGTTCTAAACGTGTGTTTGTTGGGTTTTCTGATTTCCATGTATTCTCTTCGGGGCCCATCCAATCCTATATTTCCAGAATCTCTATACTGTACGTTGGTTATTTTCTCTTATTTGCATAGAAAGATGTCTATTTTGAGAAATGGGAATTATTGGCCTTGATACTGACAACACACACCAACAATTTAGCACCGCTCCAAGAAGCAATCCGGTACAAGACAGTGCTATTCACCAGCGGATTTGGTAGCCAGAAAACCAAGTACATGGGAAACTCGACTGCTGCGGATGATGCCTGGAAGGCGCTCTACCCACGCACGGTAGTACGCATTCCCAAGTCTTCGGCAGATCAGCTCGTTAACCAGACGATTCCACTGAATGGTGACGAAGACCACTTTCCAGTTCTAATTAGCGTCTTTCACGAGATGCACTGCCTGGATTCAATCCGCCACATCTACTTTGGTCACACTAAAGGATTCGATCAGAATCCGGTGATTAATGAGGCGATTCTTGCACCGGAACATATTGACCATTGCTTTGACTCACTCCGGCAGACGCTCATGTGTGGTGGTGACGTTGCGCCGATGCCATATAAATGGGTAGAAGAGAGGAAAAAGGCTTTGGGGCATTTGGATGTGCAACACACCTGTAGAGACTATGAAGCGCTGCTGGAGTGGGCTGGGCGGCCAGAACACGACATCACAGGCTGGGATGAGAAAATTAAGCCTACCTCGATTCCCTGAACTGTTCGGCGCTGTCTTCCAGAAAAATTGGCTTCGTCAGAGCCGGTTGGGAAGCTGGTGTTGTTGCGATTACACTTGCTTCTATTAAATGCTCGCTGACTCTTGACCTTTGCTTCTCTCTCCTAAATAGCTTTCAACAGACAATTATTCCATGCTATCAATTGCCCAATGCCAGAGTTGACGAAAGAGCAGCCTTTCAAACCTCATTAGCCCTACGAATGTTGACTACGCCTATGCCTTCTCCATGATCCTCCTGTGACAAGGGTTCAATTGTGAAGGCTTGGAGCGAAAGGGGCTCAATTCAATAATAATCTCGTAGGATGTCAAAGGTCCTGAGTTCCTACAAGAGGGGAAGAGAAGGGTGACCGTCTTATATACATGAAAGGAACGCCCAGGCCTAGGGACCTTGCCCGGGCACGTGTCCCGGCTGTGTAACTAACAAGTCCTGTATCGGCGAAGCCCCTTTGTTGGGCTTCACGATCTGTTGGGCCTTTTCCGTGTAACACCTCCCCTGGGGCGCATCCAAAGACGACATCTACCCTAACCACTCCCTCGCAGGATGGGCACGTAAACTCCGCCGCCCTTCGAGAAGTCTTCATCGCCAAGCAGGGCCAACTAGTAAATCAAAGCCTACATAGCTAACAATGGATCGTGGCACATGGGCTGGCGTTGGTTCAGCATGTGGTGCGGCAGTAGGAGCTTTCATCAACACGGAATACCGTCATATGGCGACTTGTTGTTCGTCATACACGAACCGACCATGCATGATTCGTCGTATTTGGCCAGTGAGCGACTAATCTAGATTCTAGAATAACCCAACAAAGTCATTGACAGTGGCCGCCAAGAAGTCTTTGAAATGGTATCTGAGCACTATCGTCGAGGACGATTCCAACATGTTCTCCAGCGTACCAGCCACGCATGTTAGTTGTTTTTGGTGCAGGACGACGTTTGCCTGTTGGGCACACAATAGGAGGCACTGGGGCTTTGCGGATCGGATACAATCATCTAGGGGGCCGTCATGGGTGTCGAATACGCTGACCATTTCTACAGAATCTAAACTCTCTACTCATGGATTTCGGCACCGGGACTAGCCTTTCCATCATGCCAAATTGAATGCCGTACTTTTTGACTGGCACGACCCGAGCATGACAGTTGATACCGCCTGCTCATCGTCCCTAATCGCGGTCCATCATGCGGTGCAGGCTCCCAGAGCAGGCGAGTCGCAACTCACAGTGGCGTGCCGGCGGCAGGGTATTTTGAGACCTAGAGTACTTGTATATGAGAGCAAGTTGAATCTGGTCTCCCCCACGCGCCGATCACGCATGTGGGATGCGGATGCGGGTGGGTATGCTCGTCAAGCTGAGGTGTGGCGGCTGTTGTGATGAAGAGACTCGGTGATGCCATTGCCGACGGAGACCACATTGAGTGTTAATTCGCCAGAGAGGCGTCAACCGAGATGGCCATTCAAGCCATCTCACAGCTCCCAGTTCAGAAGCTCAAATAGCTCTTATCCGCGAGACGTGTGCAAAGACATATCAGCACAAGACTCTCCCACCCGCTAAAGTATTAGAGTCTAGGATCATTGTATAAGGCCGGGGCTGAATACGAGTTGTTCAAAATTCATGTTTTTGGCTTGGAGAATGCCTACATAATGCGGTTGCTGCTTCTAATAGCATCGCCATCGTCGATTCATCTTCTGATGAACCACCATCACATGATTTAGCTGCGAGAATAGTTCCCGCTCGTTCCGAAAATAGTGCTTTACCTTACAACTTCAAGCGTCCTCGCCAACGAAATACTCTCGTGAAAAGTATATAAGCTACATATGTATTTTCTGTTACAGTATAGAACAGAATATTAATCAAGACGGACCCAGTTTCCTTTCTCGAAAGAGTTCCTAAGCTGTGGCTGCTTTAACCTGAGCGCTTCCTGAGCCTCAGTGAGCCTTGCTGAGTATCCCCTGATCCAACCTGGGCATACCTGAGCAGCTCCCTGAGTTGTCCTGAGCGTGTAAGCAAGAAAAATATCACTAAATGCCTCCAATACTCCAAAGGGATTCCGTGGCCTTCATGTACACGTCCCTTTTGACCCGCTTCACAGGAGATACTGAGCCAGCAATCATGCAATGATTTGCTTACAAGTCACCCTATTACCTGAAAGATGCCAACGCCCTCGGCCATTCTGATGATTGCCTGGAATTAGGCTGAAAATACCATCTTGCTTGATGTCATGAGATTCCAAGAGCTAGGATCGAAACTTGTGCAAGTCCCAGGCCTTCTCCAATTCTTTTCATTACTTCCAACTTGTTGGTGTTGTCTCCGCTCTGGCGTTGACTTGTTCGTCCTCGTCGCGCCGCTTAGGAGGCGCCGTAGAATCCTTGCACGATGCCTTTGACCGCAAAGGGTATAGGATCGTTAGAGGCCTGATTTACTGTACTTCTACATTGATTTGACAAGTGCGCGCATTATGACCGGTCCGAACGCATGTGCCACATTGTTACACGGAACAAGTCATAAAGAGCACAGGTACCTAACGGTTACACAACAGGATCACGAGCCCCACTCAAGGCCTTAGGCATCTCTGTTTCTATCATGTCAAGAGTATATATCGGTTACCTGTCCCTTCCCTTCCGTTCTTCCAAGAACCAAGGACCTTGGACACGCTCCCAAGACGAGCCTTTGTTACAGTAACAGACAAATATGACCGAACAAGTTCCGATCATCGACCTCACGGCTTACTACAACGACGGACTGCCTGCGCAGGAAGCCATTCGTGCTATCCACGATGCGGCGTCGACGTGGGGCTTCTTTCTCATCACGAAGACGAGGGTGTCCCCCCAGGTCCAGTCATCACTTGTCTCCATGTCACGTACCTTCTTCGACCTACCACTCGAATCCAAGATGGCACTCGATGTTCATAGTGGTGGCGTTGCCTGGCGTGGCTACATGCCTCTCGGCGGCGAGCACACACACGGACGTCTCGACTGGAAGGAAGGTCTCTACGTAGGCCCTGAGCACGCCGATGACCACCCACTCGCCGGCCTCCCACTGCACGGACGTAACCAATTTCCTGACTTTGATCTCCCCGAGATGAGGCCTACTGTGCTGAAATACGTGGATCAAGTTACGGAGCTGGGCAAGACGCTGACAGACATGTTCTCGTTGGCGTTGGGGTTGGGTCGCGCCGAGTTGCGCCAGACACTTCTAGAGCCGGAGCCCGTTGTGCTATTCCGGTGTTTCAAATATCAGGCGGTGGAGGGGCAACTTTTTCAGGACAAGATTGTTGGCGTAGGAGACAGGGAGAAGTCAAGGGATGGGACTGGTGAGCAGAGTTTCGGTATCGGCGAACATACTGGTAAGGCGGTCTCACGACTCAAGTACACTCGGGACGCGCTCATTATAGCTATAGACTTTGGTTTCCTCACCATTCTGAAAGTGGACTCACCCGGCCTCCAGGTGAGCGAGCATGACATGCTCCAACATGACATGACAACTCTATCTAACCCTTGGTCTAGATCCTATCGCCCTCGGATAAGTGGGTAGATGTTCCAGTTCTTGAGGACTGTTTCATCGTGAACAGTAAGCCCAAGCCGCAATTTTCCACCCGTACCATACATAGCATTCTACCAACGCAAATCTGACTCGCTTCTAGTTGGCGACATGTTTGATCAACTCACACATGGCCGATATCGATCCCGACCCCACCGTGTCTGCCGGCCCGGACCCGGCAACGCGCCGCGCTTTTCTTTCCCCCTTTTTTTCGACTTTGCATGGAATGCCAAGATGGTGCGTTTACCGCTACATCACTTGACCCCGCTGTCGGAGGAGGAGATTGTGTCCGCGAAACAGCGCTGGGCTGGGACCACGTTCCGTTCAGTTCAAGGGCTTTGGTCACAATATTTGGCGCGTAAGATGCAGAAGGTGTTTCCAGATTTAAACATGGAAGATTTTGAACCCAACGCTGCACCTTCTACGAGGTTCACAAGGGTAGTAGGAACGTAAAATTGATGGTTACCTAAACCTTTATTTCCTAAATGGGACCAACGGCCACGGGGGTATAAGCCAAAACTTCTTTTATGTGAAACGTTCTGTGTTTGTGAATGCGAGAACCGTTCCCGGTGGAACTGAACCTTCCTTTAACATGGGCTTAACTACCGTCCACGAGGTCGGCCATTGGCTCGGGCTCGTCGACGTCTACAAAGTGAAACCTTCGTGGGGGACCGCAGAAGACTTCAGCAAGGCAAGAGCGGCGTGTCTCAAACTAGAGTATGGCGTTATTCCTTGCTGTCCGCCTGTTTTTTCCGTGGTTAGAAACGCTAACAAAAAGCAGTGGCCCCTGCGATACCCAGGTCGAGTGCCTCAACTACATGAGCTATGCCTCCGAGTGAGTTGGGCCACCTAACCACCACTAAACCGAAATCATACCCTCCTAACATTGTACAGTAAATGCAAGAACGAGTTCAACCCCGAACAGATTCGATTTATGAAGACCTATGCCAAGGAAATGCTAGCAGGCGGAACCCCTCAGCCTATTGAGATTGATCTGTAGTTGAGCCCCTAGGGCGTGTTGAACCATACAGGAATTTCGGACCGTCAGGCAGACGGTTTAAATAGTCTGGTGCTACATGGTGGTGCTACATGGTTGCTGTAATGGTTTAAGAATGGTGGGGTGGTTGGGGTTAGATAGGCTAAAATAAAAAGACGGTTTTGTCAGGCTATACTCACACATCGTTTCTTGATAGTAAATAACTTGCGGCTATTTTGATTTTGTTTTTTCACTGACAATCATCTCTTTACCTCCAAGTCGCTGTAACAATCGACGGGTGCTGCGGTTTGAGCCCTCGCATCGGAAGGTCAAAGTAGCGGACATGAAGCAGCACAAGAAGCAACACCAGAAATCTCTTCAACTACCAGAGGAATGACTTTAATTGCATGGTTGTTACGCTCACATAAACTACAGTTAGAAGAGCTTCTTTAATGTGTATGCGGTATATTCAAGCTCTCAAGCTCATCGAGAATCGCCGCTACACGAACGCTAAACGTTGTGAATAAGCATGTTCGCAATTCATGGTCACGTCTTCTCTGCCCAGTCTTAATGTAGCACATTTGGTACCCAATATCGTCCCACCGTTCAGCCGTTAAGAGGGCATACCTGAGGCGGCTGTCAAGCAACACAGGGCGCCACGCTTTTCTCGGTCAACGAATTCCAGAATATGACAGTCGCGCCTGTGACGATGGGTAAGTGCTCCGGGTTGCAGGAGGCAATCCTGGCGCTTATATCAGACTTCTCACTATCTCACAGTGAGAGCTGAGACTGACATGGTTGACTTTGAGGAAAGGCATGTATATGCGACTACGCGACGCTCATGCACACGCAAATTTTCAGTTTCTGGACCAGTATTAACGCACGGCGATTCCGAGTACGGTATTCACATCGTGACGATCTAACCAAGCAACCATTAATATTTGTAAAATAACAGAAGAAGCCTACTCGTCCATTTTCCCAGAGTTCAATAAATCTTGCTGGCGGTTGCCATAGAGTTCAGCTAGCCAATCAGTCAAATCTTGTATTTGACTGGCAGAAGCGACCTCATCGACCATCTCAAAATCGACAGCCATGATCTTATCGCCAACAATATGGAAGTTTTCTAATCTAGTGTCATCAGGCAAGGCGCCAAATTGAGCCAGGTCGCTTAATGTGTCCTTTATCAATCGACGGAATTCTTCCTTGTCCAGAAGGGCCCCGGCAGGCTCGCCGACACGAGTACCCCCAATGTCTGAAAGAAGAATGGCTTTGATACCTCTGTACGTTAACTCGCCAAAATACCCGGGAATCCTTATTCCTTGAAGGCTCTTCCATGTTGCGTACGCTGATTTCTCAATTAGGAACTCTTGATCCCATCCGTCCTTGCACGCCTTTAGCACGAGGCGGTTTGGTAAACTCCATTCAGGAAAGCAGCTCTCGAACCAGCCGCGCAATAGCGGTGGGAGGAGGCCAACAGCCACGCTAATTCGTTGATCTGTCCTGGACAGGATGACGTGAAGAAGAAAGACATTGGGCATCTCCTTGTCTATCTTTGTCGCTTTCGCGCGAATTAGTCGAGTTCTGGACCGGAACGCCTGTTAAAGTCAGATACAAAACTCAACGTCGAGTAATTGAAGTGTGCCAGCATATAATGGGCTCCGCGGGAAGCACTCTCGAAGTTGAGACAACTCTAAATCAGCCCTGCGAACGTCGCCCCTGAGCCCAGCGAGGCATCGCTTGGTCTAAGGGCGAGCCAGGATTAGGCGACTGCTCGACCGCACTTGACTATCGAACGTCAAAGGAAGACATTCACAATGTAAGACGCAATGAAAACTCTCAATGTTGTCGTGACGATATGGTCAGTAATGATGAGTTTCTGTACAGTGGAGTCCTTGGAGGTTAAAGTTGTTGACGTCGTGGTCGCCTTTTACGGTGGCACATGCATTCAAGGAGCGTCTCGATAACATGGTCAGTGAATTCACGACCGGCCTAGTTACCTTCACAAAGGCACTACCCTACATGTTGACGGTATGTGAGAACAATATTTCTGCCTAGACCCAACCGGACGCGTTTGGTTCGATTTATCATTTCAATAATACAAGTTTTGCTCATCTCCTCCATGTTTTATGTCTTTGGCAGAGCATTATATACGCTTCTTTCATCACATAGATCATTCTCTATTCTACCATGGCTTCAACTGTCTATGAATTGATTCGCAAACGAAACCACCGTCCGAGGAAGTAATTCCTGAGGAGGTGGATAGCACACATGCCATAAGGTCAGGCCATCATAAGGCGCCGCTCGTCATAGGGGAGATGAAACGAAACCTGATCAACGTTGCGCAGTGGCAAAGAGGACAGCTGACATCGGGGTCCCAGAAGAAGCTGTCCCAAGAACTTCGAGGGTACGCCTGTGTCGTGCCTGCGCCATCATTCGACATAGCGGACGGACAGTATAACAGTTATGCCCACAAATACGAATGCCCGCAGATGTTTTGTTTCGATGGGGAAACTCTCCTGCTCCTCCAATTCTGCGCTACGCGCAAAGATCAGCTTGATAATGATAACTGCAACGTGGACTGCTGGGTAATACCGAGAGATTGCGGAATTTCACTTCGCGATGCTTTCTATCGGCTTCTTACACAAGATTTCAGGCGTCATCAAGGCATGCTTGCTCTTTCCGACTTCAAATGTGATATTCGTCAGTGGTATAATGGTCGGCCACTGTGGGCTGACCCGGACACCCGTCCAGTTCAGTATACATGTAATGAACCTTCTGGATTCTAGCGTTCCGGGGATGCAGCAACAGGGGCCTTGATATGGACTCATCCTCTGGTTGAGGCTACAGGAAGAGAGACTAGGGCAGTCTGGCAGTGATTGCGACTAATTTCGTGTACGCAGAGATTGTCACACGGCCAAGATCTGGACAAAGGTATCAGGCTGCAAAGGTTACACAACAACACAGCAAGGTATTAAGAGAGGCCGGCGTCCGACCTAGGCGAGAGCTGCCCCAGGCCCCTAGGACTCAGCGACTTCTCGTTTTTAAAGTGCTCTTTGGTCCATTTACGTCTCAAGAAACCAAGGACCTTTAATACTACACTATTATTAGACGAATTGAGTCATGATACTCCAAGCCTTTAGCTCTTGTCACGCTTACCCAGGCGTCGGTTCGACTGGGAAGCCGGGCTTGTAACGATTATAAACCACGATTATTTAGGGTAGCGTAAATAAAGTAAAAGACTCTAGATTTTCTATTTAAAGAGTGGAGTGATATGAAACTAAGTAATTCTTATAATATTATTACCTGTCAGGTAATAATATGGTAAGAGGTGTCACCTCAGATGAGAGACTTGATCTTGATACTGTATAGGTCTTATTAGGGTCCCGCCTATTCAGCACAAGGTCTCCGTGTCACTTATCAAAGCGGGCTAAAGCCTTCCCATGTCTCGTTCACGGCCCTGTTCCACACGGCTCTAAAACTCCCGAGACCGTTGAGATAAGCCCGGACGCTGTTTGGCTTACCGGGGATATTGCCTCCGTTAAACCAGGAATACTTGGATTTACTGAAAAGGCTCCCTTCAGCGTGATGTAGGCAGAGGCGGTTCCATGCGTCCTGTGCGGCAGGAGTAGCTTCAACAATACCTTTGGAACCAGAATCGCGCCTGGCAGCTTCTGCACGCTGAATAGCACTGGTGTTAAGGTCGACACTGGCTTGAATCGTTTGCGGAACGTTCCCAAAAGCCGACTGCGGGCCGTTGACAATAAACATGTTCGGAAAGCCAGGGACGAATGTGCCCAGATACGCCTTGGGCCCTGTAGCCCATGCGTCGTTAAGGACCATGGCATCGCGACCGGTGATGTTGACGCGCATAATATTGCCTTCAACGGCATCAAACCCAGTGGCGAAAACTACAACGTCTAATTCGTGAACCATGCCGTCTGCAGTCAGGATACCGTCAGGAGTGATCGCCTTGATGGGGTGCTCTTTTAGGTCTACAATAGACACATTCTTGCGGTTAAATGTCTCGTAGTATCCGTCATTCGACACGGGCCGGCGCGCAAAGAGCTCATCAGGAATAAGTTTACGCGCCTTTTCCGGGTCTTTGACAATGTGACGAATCTTATTGCGGAGGAAATCGCAGACCTCTTCGTTGGCTTTTTCGTTCGTCACGACGTCATTAAAGCTCTCCATGAGAAAATGCATCCCGTTCCCATGGTTCCACTGATCTTCCAGCAGTTCTTGACGCCGCTCAGGAGGGAGGGAAAAGAAAGGCCGATTGGACTCGACAAAACCGAATCCGGAAAAGGAGCTGTTGACTTGTTCCCGGATACGGTCGTAGTTCTCATCCAGCCATTTCATGTGAGTTGGCGAAAGTTGTCTGTCATTGTTGGGCACCGTAAACTGCGGATGCCGAATAAACGCTGTCAAAGATTGAACAACAGGAGCAGTATTGGTAATAATCTGGACTCCGCTCGCACCACAACCAATTACTCCAATACGTTTATTTCTCACGTCCAGATCCTTCGGCCAACTGGACGAGTGCGTAAAACACCCCTTAAAGGTTGAAACCCCCGGGATATCGGGCAGGTAGACTTTGGACAAGACCCCCAACGCAGGAATGAAATAGCGAACCCGAAACATTTCATTGGTGTTTGTCTTGATCTCCCAAGTGCTGGTGGTCTGATCCCATCTAGCTGACAACATTTCCGTGTTGAATTGCATGTACTTGCGTAGGTCGTGTTTGGCAACGATGCGATTGAGATAGGCCAAGATCTCAGGTTGCCGAAGATATCGCCGATTCCACGGATGAGATTTATGGTCTTCCTGATCCCAAAAGAAACGATATACAAAGCTCTCCGTGTCGCTCAAGGCTCCAGGATAGATGTTGGTCAGCCAAGTACCTCCCACATCTGGGAGGGAATCAATAAGCTTGATAGATAGCCCCATGTTCCGCAGGCTGTACGCCTGGCATATCCCACCGAAACCGGCGCCGACGATTAGAACGTCAAATTGTTGCTCTGGAATGGATGCCATGGTGATGTAGAAAAGTTGATGAATAATTCTCGATTTTCTTGAAAATAGCAGTAATGATACGATTGTTGCACTATTCGCTGTGACCAAGTCGTAACTTGGCCGAGTTTAAATAACATGCTTGAACTATATACACTGCCGGAGCTCAGTTATCGGATGTCGGTCGTCCGACCAAGTTCAGAAAGAATAGAAGGTAACTCTATTCGCTTTAAGAATTTGCCGTCGGACTAGTATTTTTAAATCCGACGTTCGCCGTCCAAATAGCACCGCGAAGGGCCAAACTTGCACCGTTGGCCTCTAATATAGTGTCACCGGAGCAATGACTAACCATGCGCTCGCACCCTTGGGTCAAGTGTTTCAGAGCCGCTTAGTTGCCAACGGATCTGGCAGTAGCTAATAAACTGGAGCCTGCTATAAATGTCAACGTCGGACAACTCTAACTGCGCTCGGCACTTATTCTCACGGGGGGAAAACACCGAACGGACGCTAGTTGCCTCCCCGACCCGGACTTAAACGGGTCGTAAGACGGTTCACATTCTACTACCCCTGCAGCATAAAATTTCCAACCAGGGGACATGACATGCGGCTTGTTCAGCATGCTCGATGTGTTTAGAGGCATTAGTATGGCGGGTCATTGCGTATTTTCCACTTCTTTGTAATCCTATCCTATCTATTACTAACTAGTTTGTAATACAACGATACAGCCGCTCAAAACAAGTAGCCACATTTCTGATTGTCTCAGCATTATAGCAACCAGCTTCTCGAAACCGCTGTGGTTATATAGAGTATTGAGGGCGTTTAAACAAACGGTCGTAACCCTCCCAGAGACCATAATTTACTGACTAGTGTAGTCCATGAACCTAGCGAGTGACTTGGCTGAGATGAGGCTCGCATACCCTCCCACGACCAGAGCGTCGAGCATCCTCTCCAGGCCCAGGAAACCGCCGATGCCCAACGCGACAAGAATTGTCACAAAGCCACAGTGTGACCAGTATTGCCGTCCTTGCAAGATGTCTGTCATCCCGACCGTGCAGTAAATGATTATGGATAGTATATACAGGATGTCAATCTGGGTGCTGAAAACACGTACCACTGGAACTGCATCCCTCTGACTTGGTTTCTGTTGATACGTAGTGCCTATAAACGAAGACAGTTAGTATCGGGAAGTATGTGTCCTGAGCCATTCTGGTGCAAGGTGTCTGCGAACATACTTGCACGGTGAAGGTAAACGATGGCTGCAGTGGCAATGCCAGCACTGAGTACCCCAAGTGCATTAAAACACTTGTAAGCTCTCCTATGGGCCCGACTTTGCTTAGCTGGCCACTTGGATGATGATGAGTGTGGCATTTTTGAACCTGGGCTCGTGGGTGAATTGATGACTTTGGTGCTATGTGTTTCCGGATCCAGCCGAATTGGGTAAGGAAGGTAAGACAGACGCGAGGTGAGAAGCATCTTGTTGATTGCGGAGAGTTCGGAGAGTTTAGAGGCAAGAAAAGCAGACGCGTTG